GGGCTTCTTTGGAATACAATAAGGTAATCAAAAAGTTTGCCGTGTCTAGAAGCATCGTAGAATTGAAGAATAACATCAATAAGTTCTATGGTTAGCGGGTTGTTTTCGGACAGCATGCTCTACTTCACTTTGGAGGTTGGTCACATCTTAGCCACTTAGTCCTTTTAGTTCTCTTATTTCCTCTTTACAATTACTATTTACTTTTGTTTGTCCTTTTTGTTGGTTGTTCGTTATGTTCGTTATTAGATCTCTACCATTCCTCATGGTTTTTATCAGACCGGTTTCATGTTTTTTTTATCAGGCTCATTCCATTTTATATTTTTAATTCATGTACGTAAGGTACATGTTCTAATAAATAAATAAATTTGTTGCATAATCCCTTGCTTCTACAGTATATTGTTTAGTGCTTCCTAGTGCTTAGTGCCGGTTAGCGACGAGGCTAAGTAGGGCGTCCCCGGGTGGCGGATGGGAGTAAATCGCTGACCAAAAGTCGCCGATAATTGTTCAAAGACACCAGATACAATTTGTATCTAGCAGCTTATCCACGCATACGTGTGTGAAGAGTTTGTGAGTGTATTTGGTACCTTGCTCATCATCCAGCTAAAAGCTTGCACTCGAGTGAATGGGAATTATTCAGGAGGTGATTCGGGCCGCCCGCAAAATCAAAGCCCCTCGTCCACTCTGATATTGCCTGGCGAACTGCCCAACACAGCAGCGTTGGGCAGAGCCCTCGGGAGCGGCCGCGAGAATATCAGGGCCAAAAGAGGCTACCATACTTTCTTCAAAGTCATCGGTGATTTTAACGCCAAGCCGGCCCCAAACAGGAAAGGCCGATGAGCTCCAGTCCAGGACAAGAACATGCGCTGCTCAGCGCGCCTTAGAAAGGACGACGCTCAGAATTTCCCTATAGATGCAAGTGCAGAACGGAATCTGGAGTGCTCATCTCCGTCAAAGAGCGAAGATCAGAGATGTCGTTGCTTACGCCTATGCCGATTGAAGGTCAGGTGGGCCGGACAGGTTAAGCGACGTGATGTCCGTTGGACTAAGCGGTTACTGTCTGGATCCCTCGGCACGTCAAACGAGCACCAAGGCAGCCGCCGTGGTCACTTGTCAAAGAAGTCTGAACGAAAATATTGCTGATCCTCGAGTTCTTGAAACGAGGACTATCAATGAAGACGTCACTGGCGCCCTCTCGCGAAAATTGATGATCAACGCGACGAAGGTGATACGGGTGATCTTGCGACTGTGGGGCTGTTGCCTACCATTGCATATTCCTGTTTGACGTAAAATTTGCATTATGCAACGCAAAAAGGTATTAGGCAATGAAATAAATTTTGTTATCGAGATACTCTTAGTAAGCATCATAGCCTCTTGGTGTCTGATCTCATTGTTATCTCTATGAAACTACCGGACCGTCGTACCTCATCTTGTACATAGTCAGATATCAGCAGCAAGAGAGCAGCCGCACGAGTATTTTGACGATGAGCGAGCGATAAGCCGAATGAACTATAAACGAAAGGGTTATTGATAGAAGAAGGCATACAAACTGGTATTACCGAGATGAGCTTAAATTCAAAGAGTTTGTCTCAGAAATGATATGTTCCACGAGATGCTTTGCGAAATTGGGATTATTCTTGGAAATACGAAGAGCAATATAGATGCCATTCAGTCTTGTGCGCTGTAGCACTTCAAAAGGTCTGAAATAGGGCATAGCATGCTTGAGCTGTCCTATACTTCACATCTACTGACCTGTGTATATCATTGAAATCGTTTACACGTTCTTCGTAAATCATCTCATATGCAGCGTTCAGCACCCGATGCTCCTTTTTTGGTATTGGTCCAAAAACAGCTAGGGCAAATACCTACCAAATTTGAGGAACAACTTCAAAACGAACTTTCAAAACGCCAAGTTATCACTCTAAACCTACAATCATGGCCCACTCCTCACTCAAGGGATTCGACATGCAGCTATCCAAAAGACATTGCGAAAGAACAAGAGCCACCGGAGTGTTCAAATGAGCTAATTCCAGTAATTGAGAACATTTGCCCTGTAAAGACATAACAGTCTAGGAAACAAGTGAAAATATGATAAAATAAACGGACCAATATAAGCCGCATTACGTCAGGTTGAGCCATCGCCAACTTTTTGAGGCATAGCCTGAATCAATAAAGTCGAAGGTATCACAATGAACTCATTATAGTCAAGAGAATTGGACCAACTAGAAGAACTTGGGATAATCAGGACATTCTTAACAAAACAGTGTTTTTTCTCCGAAATAATGTAAAATCAACCTTCACCTCAAAGTACGTCGTAGAGCTGGCAAAAAGTGTTGAGACTTTCGTTCCTCGTTCATCACGTTGAATGACGCTGTCAACACGCTTAGTAGAGTTTGATTGCATGAGACCTTAACAAGAAAAATTGTTAGCTTAGTGATAGAGTGTAAAAATTCTAAAGGATTTGATGAGGTTGATCAACAGATAATTTTGGGAGCAAACCTTGAAAATTCCCAAAAAGGGGCAAGGCGGAAATGGATGAGGCAGAAGGAGAGGAAATGGGGATTCGTTCCTCCTTCACACTTCGCTAACCCTCTTCACAATTGATAAAAAAATTTCCTTAGGCACCATTGATTTAGGTGGCTTGAATAAAGCAGAACAGTGGTCTTTATCTATTCTCTTGACCCACTTGAATATCGCAGTCTTTAGCTCTCTCCAACATCGGGCAGCGTGTGTTGTGTTGTGTTGAATACCCACTTTGGCACATTACTGCAGCTTGATGCTCAAGAGTTCTTCTTATAACAACAGCGGAGTTCTTGCTTTGTTTTTTCAGTTATGTTCAAGACATTCTAGATACACCGAAAAGTCACCCACCGCATCCTTGAACTCATTTTTAAAGCAAAGATATTTCCATACAAATGCACGGAATATAAATTTTCACGCCCAGAATCATAAACATACTCCGAAAAAGATAGAACGCAAAAGAACACACACCTTTTCTACTAGCATGTCGACTATGTTTAGGTAACAGTCAGCAACTGAGTATGTGGAAGCACACTCAAGCCAATCCACGCATTCTTTCACCAATTCATTAACATTCCTCCGAAAGACGCTCGCCAAATGGCATCTGAAAAAATGACTCACACAGGCAAAGGTACTGCGTCTCGTGCGAAATAATTAGGACTAGGAAAACACACTTGATTATGAGCCTGAGACGATACTCGTGAAGCGTAGAGGTTAGCTTGCTGATATCCTTAGCATGCGAGAAGTCGGTCCTAGATCATGATGTAAAAGAGTACCAAAAGAAATTGGAATGAGTTTTATACGGGTAATTGCAGTCACTTCAGCTTTACCTACACTGTACGTCGCACAGGCGCAAGACCTTCGGTTCCAAAATATTGTGAAATTTTCGGAATTAATTCATCTTTATCTTCTCTTGTAAGATTGTCGAATATGTCACACAACAGTCTAACCAAAAGCATTTCTCGAGGTAGTGGAATGCCCTCCTTAATATAGAGATGCTACAATTATGCTACATGATTTTGTAAAGAGCAAGAGAAAGCTCATAAAAACCTCAGATATGAGAGTGACAGCAAGATCAGCGATCGAGTTGAGGGGGTACTGCAGTCGCTCCAGAAGTCTTATGTAGACAGCGTGAATTATGTAGCAATCTGCGCCCTGAAAGACGTTACAAAGAACGACCTGGTCAGAGAAGAAATGATTGAGAAGGAAATCTTACAGCCGCGGTGGTTACAGCACAGCGTAACAAAATGTATCCATGAATAAGATGTGCAAGTCCAATATCAGCTGAGGCCAATCCTGACAAAACACACAGAAAATTTAGAAATGGCTTAGTATCTTGAACAACTTAATTGAAAAACCACTGCATACCTTTGGAAGAAGCACACAGCAAGGACAGCAAAGTGTCGAGGTCTTTCACCATCGCGCTAGATAGTGCCATATCTACGCCATCCTCCACGGCCATGAGTCGATCAGCTAATTCTAGTTCAATCAACTTTTGTAGCTGGTCTTCATGACCAGATAGGCGTGCACGAGCCCATAGCAGAGCAGCAAAATCATCCTTCTGCAATGACTAACGTTAACACCTACCTTAAGTCTTAGAATGCCTACCGCGTAAGCAACGAGAAATAAAGGTTTTCGGGGTTGTAACACAAAACTATAACTTATTCGTTGTCAACGACATGGGGCGTTAATGCAATGGATGCTCTTTCTCAACGAATTCTACGAAATCCGTGAATGAAACTTCTTTCAGCATTGAGCTCTTGGCCAAAAGTAAGAACAACATATAGAGCTTTGGATAAAAGCCGGAAAAATCTATTGAAGGATGTACATATTTATCATTTTCATCTCAATAGAAGATCCTGGAAAGTGTTGAATCAGACAAGATTGTGTAACGTTGAATCTAACACCTTTCTCAAGTCCTTCCAAAACAAAAAAAGTTCCATTGCGGAGTGGAAATGTTCAATTTATTCATAAGAATTAGATACTTCAAAATAAGAGGCATAGGTATAACAGAAGTGCAATGAGTTGTTATATTTGATGTGATGGAACTTAAGGAGACTACCTGGTCGAAAAGCGAGGTCTATTAATAGGCAACTGGTACCCCAGCTTACAAGTTGTTAGTTCCTGCTTAACAAACGCAGCCGGCGAGAAGAATCAGAGAAACGGCAATGAATCGCTCGATGCGGTGCAAATTGAAGAGAGACTAGCAATATTCTCGGGAAAAAAGGAGTTCCGTCGCTCAAATAGGAGGGCGAAAGGAATTTTCTCATTCTCCTCGTCAAGCACTTCCAAACGCGCACACAACCACCAAGCCGGAAGCAATAGAAGAACACAGGAATATAGAAGGAAAGGGAGGACAGAAAGAGCAGACAGATTCTTATAGTTTACAGCGTACGATACAGTCTCCACTTTTTTCCACTCTTTCTATCCAAAGTCGAACTCATCAACGAAAGCTCACCTCATGTCAACGGCATTTCCTCTGACCCATTGAGAATTCATCGAAATAAAACTTGAGCGTAAGTACAGAAAGGGATAGTACATACCTGGAAATCTCGTGGACGAAGTAACGTCAGTTTGATCATGTCGTGTGACTCAAACTGCTGGCTCAGCAACTGGCGTGATGTTTCCATACAAACGAAGGTATCCAGGAGTGAAGGATCTTCACGAGAGAAGGCTGCAGTGAGAACACCAATTTCATTGACTGCTTCACCACTCTACAAAATAAGAAAACATGAGAACTAGGACTATGTTTTCGTCGGCCGGTGATACATGCAGAATGGAACTTACCAACTCAAGCGCTTTTGAAAAAAACACGACAAAGTTGTAAATAGCAGCAAGCTTCATAGTGATATGTTGAATATACCGCGTTTTTTGAAGGAGAGTTCTGAACTAGCTTTATTGCGCTTCGAGAATCATTTTATTACATTCAGACAACTACTCCACTTCTCACTTACATGATTAAAGGAAAATCCTTCATAATGAGGCACCGTGATGGATTCACTTTCTCGAGGGATTTCGACATAAAGAACATAGATGAAGGGCTGGATAACTGACTTGCACTACGGATAACCTTCCTCACAAAGTTTCCTGAAAACACTGAGTTTAGGGGCACAATAACAAGCACGAACTAATAACAACTAAGCTACTGATAAACACCTCTGCTAGCATCATCCAGAGCAAAATGAATCCCTTCTAATAATTGTGTTAGTGACTCCAGGAACGACTTCAGCTTTTGACGCTCTAACAGCCGCCAAAAAAGATCATTTGAATCCAGGTGCTTTTGAAGCATGGAGAATAGGAACTAAACATTGAAGTTACAAATATTTGAAAATAAACTCACAGGCGGCAGTTACTAAAACTTCACCAAGCATCAAAAAATCACTGAATTATAAAAATCAAAATCAGAAGCAAGAAAAACTTACGTCTTGATCCGAAGCCATAAAAATTGGCTCTACCGCTACGAGCTTCTCTAAAGCCCAGAGTCGAACCCATCCATTTGAGTGGGCGAACGCTCTTATAAACAGGACCTTCACCCATTTAAAATCCAACAAATTCGAATAAATCAGTTGCATAACGCAGTCCAAGCGAGGTAAAACAGGAACGAGTATGTGAAACTAAAGCTGAATCATCTACACGTCCATGAAAAGCCTCAGCGTTAAGCAAATTACTAGTACTAATTTCGTTGTAATAGAAAATTTCTGCGCTCGAACTGCATTCAGAACTGAAAAGAACTAACTTGAGGCTCTTCCAAGCCTTGTGCTAGCAAGAAGAAATCATACCAGACAGTCTTCCCTTGCGTAAGAGCTTTGAGACACGAGATTGCACCTTTCCTTACAGATCGAGACGAATTGTCATCTTGAAATAGGATGTTACTGAATCAAATTCACAGCAGAAGCCTTTTCCGACAGTGGAAATACCTGTTAGAGTGAAGTGAATCAGATCCATGATACGACTTTTCATAGCCTCCGAGCACTTCTCTGCAAGCGAGCAGAGCGATGGTAGAGCAAGTTCAAGCTCACTTCCATTTAGGGTACCACACAACCTGAAATTCAACAGCAGTGACAACGTATATATAGCTACGGTCCGCACTGAAGGATAAAGAGAACATACGTGATCAAGTCAGCAATATCATCCTCGGTCTGCGCCTGGTCGACAAGCCCTACAAAGTAGTCTCGAGTGTAGTTAGTTTCTGTCACCTCTGAATCGTAGTCCATTTAGAGCCCCTGTAAGCCTGTGTGAAGCTGATTTTCTTGTCGGTCATAAAAATAAAGCAGAGGATCTCAAAACGTATGAGAGAACTGGACCATCAAAGGTAAAGAGCAACAGTACACTCAGGCCTATCGAAACTTTATAAGTAAAGCAATAATAACAAATAACAATCTAGCAGCGACAAAGTCCAATACGCAGTCAATTAGGCAAAGGAGTGGGGACGAAGAGGTTTCAGTGGGTCGAAAAGTTTAGGATCCCGAGTATACTTCGGATCCTTCACAAAAATGGGCATGTAACCAGATTTACGTGATAAGGCAATAGTTTCGATTAGTTTCTTCTGCTGGTGATCGCAGAGGCCCGTAATGTGTCGATCATAGACTCGACCAGAAAAAGTTGAAACAAACTGCTAAAAAAGTAGGAAGTGATATGTTTTCTATCAAACACTGACAGCGAGGACCACATACCTGCAAAAGACGGGCATTTTTATAGTCTAGCTCAATTCCAGTACGACAAAGTAAACATTTCCGTTCTTCTTTCTCATATGGATTCTTCTGTATTTCGATGGGCGCATCTGGGTCAGCTGCTAAAGAGAGATGAAGTTATCAAGGACCTGTAGAACCACTGCTATTATCTGAAACTAACCTTGTACTGCTGGGGGATCAGGAGGGCATTGCGATGTACTGCACAAACGAAAAGAAGAAGCGAACTCCTTAACCGTGAATCTCCTTTCCGCCAACCGCATCAAAAGTGCTGACCTCGACAACATCTGAAAATCTTCATCTGAGGAGCCTCTTGCAACTAAACAAACATCCTTTTGTTGCTTGAACGCAACATAAATGATAAACCTCATCGAATTTCGTCAAAAACGCAAGTGTACCAAAAATTCGTCCGTAAATTACCGATCAAGGTTGCCAATCTTTTGAGCGAAAGCCCTGAGGCGTCAAATCATGCTTGGATACAAAACCGGTGAAAATGCAGTGGAAGTGGGGGGAGGGGGGGGGGGGGGGGGGGGCACCATGTATACACTCTGGCACTAGGTGCTAGACTGCAGAAAAGGAATTGAAGCCAGTCCTATGAGCCCGTAATGATGCTTGGAAACGGTTTCTAGTCACGGAAATACTTTTTCCAGCTATATATTAGAAGGAAAGGAGCGCAGCGCAGGTGAAATGGAGACAGACTATCCCTCTTCACTGCGCATTAGCGCCTAGTATTGGACAGAAGGGGTATCCCATCTACTACTTCCCCGACAGCTAAATTTTCATCCCAAAACCATCCAAGCATCGGGTGCACGTGGGATCTCACGAAGAGCACAAAGTTCCCTAGCCAAAACGTCGAGTAGTAATAGCCGTAAATTGCCTTGTAGTCGCTGCAAAGAATTCTCGGGCATTACACGTCATTCTACGTTACAATGCTTATTCCAAAAGCAAACTCTGGCCATAGGGTATTTGGTTCTATAGTTTATCCCGTGTGACATGATGAAGTCCAGTTTGAGCACTCAGCTGTATAGAAAAGTTTTCGTTGACAGAACATAGTACCCAAATGGTGTCGGTAGGAAGGGGAGTTTTTCTAACGTAATGTCGCTAATTTGTAGGTTACCATGAGCGACATGTTCTTTTCGGTAAGCACAACAAATGAAACCCAATATGATTACATAGTAACGCCTACAGCTATGCCTATTTTTCTATTTCGGGAAGACTTTAGTGAGAGACACAACAGTTCTTCGGTTCATTTCCCTGGTCGCTGTGAGAATCGTAATGATTACAGATAAATGATTGTAAAAGAAAGTTCAAGGAGCAAGAAATCGCAATTGAAAAGAGTTGGTAAAATTGGACGTAAACGGAAAGCTTCACAAGAGGTAATTTCTGTAGTTATTTTTGAATGGCTTGAATTGTTGTTGCTAACACTTCTTCCACTGCTTCGACATTTTGTTAGGTTTCAATCGCGGACTCCGAAAATGAAGAGCAAACGTTTTCCGGGACTGTAGTCGATGAAGAAAAACCACCTCTCATGGATATTGCAGCTCCAAGTGATTCCGATGATGAAGGGGACTCAGATAAAGAAGTTAGCAGGTTTTGGTTGTAACTAAGTTAATCGCCTTGCTATGTCATTCTTTTTAGTTACAAGTAGCTCTACGCGAAGGTTTACTGAAAACCGATAAGCTCAACTATATCGTGCCTGCAAAGCGTCCAATTATCAACAGAACGGTGAGTATGGATTTGCTATATTTAAATGGCAGTTAATGATTCTCGTTCTTTCTGTCGTTGTAGATTCCTTGGCATGGTTTGTTTCAACAAAACTTGTTTTAAATTTCAACTTTCATGTTCGTGGTTGAAGGCCGAAATGCGTGAAAAAATCGCTGAGTTTGCCAAAAAGTTGCCTTGGATTGAAACTGTTGACGTAAGCACGAAATCTACGCTCACAAAGGAGATGATCGATAATGACTTCGACCGAGAAATGCAGTTGTGAGTTTTTTAATATATTTTTAAATTGGCCGTTCTACATCCTGTTTACCCAGCGATTGATGCCCCATTGATAGATGCCGAGTTTTCCGATCCTGGAAATGGTTCCGTTCTGCTTTTCGTCTTTGAGATTTTATTTTTGTGCACTTCTGTCTTTGATGTTGGTTTCTCGTGATCTTAAATTTAGACTTCAACACGAATAAATATAGACCTAAATAGGACTCGCGAATCCTATCCTCACCATCAGTATTCACTTACCTATTATCTCTTTTTCGAAAACTATAACCTCTTTAAAACATAACAATTAGCGTTCTTCATTAGCATGAACTCCATAAAACACCTACCTTCTTGTCATACCCTAATACGCTTGTTGACCTGATGAGGGTCGGCCGGAATACGATCCCTCGCTTGTCATAGTGTGCGCTACTTACCACTACACCACCTTCTCCTCAGAACAGACTTATGGTGTCTCCTTGGTTCTGGTTTCCTTCGAAGGGTCGAATCGAAGTTCATCAATTCAATTGCCTTTAGCCACTTAAATATTTTATATTGAGTGGGACAATCCCGGATTACTTGTGAAGAGGAAGGATGCGCTACGCATTTAACGCATTTCACGTCATGAAATTCGATTTCAGCTACCTTCAAGCAGAGAAAGCTGTTCAAATAGCGGTGTCTCGACTTCTTTCTATGGGTGTGAAGGTAATTCGCCCCTCCGACTATTATGCCGAAATGGCTAAGAGTGATGGTCACATGCAGAAGGTCCTTACACTGTTTTTTGTTCTTCTTAATTTTTACAAATTTTTCCTCCGTATGTGGTTTCAGGTAAGGAAACGTTTGTTGAAAATTCAAGAGGATAAAGAGCGTCAAGAAGCGATTCGAAGGATGCGAGAGGAAAGGAAGTACGCTTCAAAAGTTCAGAAGGTGCAGAAAGCTTTTTCTCTAGTAGTTTGGGAGAAATATTTACGAATTTGCTCCGTTTTTAGGAAGTATTAGAGAAACGGAATAGCGAAAAGAAGCAGTTGATGGAAGCTGTTAAAAAGCACAAAAAGGGTATGAAACAGCAGCTGGAGGACATGCTCAGTAACGTCAAGAGAATGGGACTGGATCAGGTGCTACCTTTTTATTGTAGAACTTATTCCTTTTTCTGGATTATAGAGCATTCAATGGAACTGTTTGCTTACCAGCTCCGCTCTTAATTCTGCCCGAACATTAAAGACATCCGGGACTTTGCAGCTTCTCCAAGACTGGTTAGAATGATAGAAAAGCTGTTTTTTTCGTTGAGCTATGTATTAAACGACAGAGTGCTTTACGGAAGGTAGCTCAACATTCCAAAAAATTGCTGTAGTACAATGAGAGCACTAAGAAATATCATCTTGTAGAATTGAATTGAAAACGAGGCGGCAATATCGGCCGGGTCCTAGGCCTGTCTCAACCTCGGAAGAACATAATCTTCTCCATTTCTCAACGCAGCGGTGGAGGCCGACAAGTTTTTTAAGCTTCATCTTTTCTCATCCACTGTATCTTTCTTTGTGCCCTTGAAAATTTCAATGGACGTTTGGTTGCATTTCTACTACTCCTGTTAGTTAATAGTATGACTGAAATGAAAGGGATGGAACGAATATCAAATGCTCCTGTTTTGAAATTCGTTTAGTTATAAGAAATATAGTTTTTCATCTCATTGTGACTCATCTATGTGTTGGTGGGCTAATAGGAGCTCAAAGGACAAAGTATAAAAGTTTGGAGAAGTTTTAGGAGTCAGCTATATAGAGGTTGTGGCACAGCTACCAACGGACGGGTGTGTTTAGACTTCCTCTCTCTAAAGTTAATGTAACAAACTCCTTCGATTGCTCCGATCTTTTAAAACATAACTTTAAATTTTGTTTCAATCGGTTAGGTCTATCGAAATGACAGTGCTTCCCATAAATTATACCATTTAAAGGCAATATTTTATGACAAAAAAGAACCCTCTGCGGAAAAGCTGGGTGGAGGTGGTTTAGTGTCAAGTGGCGCACTATATCATCTGCCGGCCACGGGTTCGAATACCAGATCGGTATCCGCTTAGGCCAACCAGACCTTCCCTCCCTCAGGATTCAGTTAATTGGTACCTGACTCGTCTAGGAGGATAAAGGCACTGACTTGTACATCGGCTGGCCACCGCACGTCATTGTATAGGCCACATACGCACTCATTACGCCATTACCATTCTGAATGGAAGTCGAGTTCGGGGGCGTATCCCTTAGACGGGATCGAATAACTGTCCAAGACTTTATCCTTCAGACTTTACTTTAGACCGTAGAAGCTGTTTTCCACTTGCAGGACAACAGGGTGCTTGTCCCTTTGTTTGAATAGCTTTCTATGAGTGATAGAAGCTGGTAGCTCTATTATCGCTTTCATCTAACTAAGTTTTTAGGAAGACGAAGATGTCTCAACTTCTGCGAAGGGAATGAAAAAAACCAGTGGAACCAAAACTGGACGTGGATTTGATGCTAAAAAGAAGTGGAAAAGCGAAAAATTCGGCTATGGAGGAAAAAAGAAGGGCAGTAAACGAAATGACAAAGAAAGGTGCGTAGGTAGAAGTCTTTTAGCTCTTTTGAATTCTTCTTGAAAGTTCTTCTTCCCTAAATAGTTGGTTTGTAGTTTTGAAAACATCAATGAAAAGAGACAAAACTTTGGTGGTTCAAAAACGAGATCAAGCGGTTTCCGTGGAAAAGGACGTTTCAGAGGCGGAAAGTCGCGAGCTCGGCGTTAGAAACTTATTGAACTAATTGTTCATATCGATTCTGTTTTTTTTTTGCATTCTCTGGAACACACTGTTTGATAGTTTTGTTGTTATTGTTGTCGGTTGCTGATCATGGCGCCTTTGTTATGATATGATATTGTTGTAATTAAAATGTTTTTCGTAAAGTTTTGTACAATTTTCTTGGTTCGACCACCATTGTACTGGAATTTCATTTCAGTCGGAAAGCGACTGCTTTTAAATATGTTTGAATGATCATTATTTTCAGATGAACTTACAAAGCGTTTAGCAGTGATCAATTTGCTGGAAATATGCTCCTGACCTTGGTATCAGGGATACTAATCTTTCTTGTTCTAGTCTTCTGTACATTCCTTCCATATTGTTATCTTATTCGTCGCAATCGGATAGATGACAGGCAAGTAATTTACTCCATAAAGTTGGTTTTGGAGCTCCGGTAGTCAGTTGACCCCAGCAGTTCATGTATCCACAAAATTGACCAACTCTCTGGCGTTCGATACCATACCCCGCACGTTAGTTCTTGGTTACTAACCTTTTCGGAGCCTAGCGTAACTGTGTCAGCATAACCAAGTTGCTATCTCCGAAAAAGTAGCCCTTCTCGCTCACGAGCGACCACGGTGGCTGTTTAATACGAGCCATTCATTTGTCGCGGAATCGCAAAGGTAATCATGGTTTTAGAATTTCGACGGATCGTTTGTATACTTTTCGGGTCCCCTTTGTTTATAATCCGAATAGATCTCCTTTTTATAAATGATTCAGATAGAATATAATGATTAGAGGACGTGAAACTCCGGTTGGCACATATACTATTTCGATCTATGAAACTCGAGTTTCTCGTTTTCTCTCATCTAAATTTGCATTCAAGGGGCGTTGTGTAGTGCACAAGGCTTTGCTAGTGTCCTATCCTTTTACGAAGTATACCCATAATTCGTTTTTCTAAGCGCCCACGCCCCCCCCCCCNCTGGAGTAGTGAGAGACTGATCTGGATCACGATTGACTACCGAACGAGCAGATTCTGTATCTGTGTCGGGTAGTTGGCTCTGAAATCTAGTCTCATCTCTTATTTACTGAATCTGACTTTATTTCAAGGTTCTCGGTTTTTCAAAATTATGAACTCCATTATCTTTGTTGCTCATTCTCACCATCCTGTTCTCGAGTGGAGTATACGAATATCTAGACGTCCAGCCATACCTCCTTTCCTTCATATTCTGTTTCATTTTTCAAATCGCAGTATTTTTTCTGTTCTGATTTCCACGGAGAGCATTATTGTGAATTGTTTTAACCACTCGGCCACTGCACTCCTCATCATTTCATCATCCTAATCTTTGTTGCTACACGCCTTTCAAGCGTAATGAATGAATGACTGAATGAATGAATTAATGGTAGCTTCGTTATTCTTGGGATTGTGTAGGATGCGCTGCGAAGGGGTATTATAGACTCGATTGACATGGTGGACTTATTCTTCATATTGGTCAACAAGATCACTAGTAAAATGTTAATATACCGCGTGCAATCTACAATTCGCATTCTCAACGAAGCAACCATGGACCTCTCACGCAAAAATGTAGTGCAGGCCTGAGAGCTCCCCAAGTGGATTCTTTTCCCATTGAGTTTGTAATGATCGACTCAAGATAACATCTAGGAAATATGCTGAATCTTAACTTTTCAGAGGAATCAACTCACTGTCGATTTGCACCTGTGTAGCATGTGGCATTTTCTTATCCACTTGTTTTCTTGGATTGATACCACACGTTCGCCATCATGAGGAACTGATTCGGTGAGAAAGCACGTCATAAAACTTCATTCATTTCTTGACATGTTTTTTTATGAAATATAAAATAAGAGAAATAATTTATTTTCTCGATACTTATGTTTACCATTCTTTCCTATGCTTGTGTCTTCATCATCACCATTGAGAGGTCTGCATCATTTTTTTGAAGAGGAAAAAAGCTTTTCTGTTGTGATTCCTCCTAAAAGCGTGCTCCCGATTGAAGAAAACGGCTTGCACTCGCTGCCATCCAATTGCTAATATAAATAGAACATATTTTATCAAAAAAAGGTATTTGAGAAGCACGCTTCACCAACATCGCTCTGGCCCTTACGCTTAGTGAAGTTATCGAAGCGATGCAAGTTCGAAAGCCCAGAAAGCAATAGCCACATGTTAACCTGTGCAGATAGGGGCTTAAATTGTATCTATGGAAAGACTAAAAGGTTGTTTTCTCCTCTAAAAAATGAAGAATTTTGTCGTTGAATACTATATTATTACTCTATCCATAAGAAAGTCAACGTGCTGGGGCTAATCGACAACTTAGCCAGGGTGAGGGTCTCACTCGGACAAGCATAAGCCATGGCTGACACGCAGACAAGTATATTTTCTACTTTTTCTGTTACCTCATTGTCAGTAAGTTGTATAGACTGTAAATTGGATGCAGAATGTTCGTGAGATGCTCTTCTTCATGAAGCTTAACTCCTTAAAATTGCTCCCATTCAGCTCTCTATCGTGTTGTCTTTATCAATTTGTTTTTTCAGTTTCTCTTCGGCCTTGCAGTACTCAATTCTAACACTTATCAGTAATGCCTAATTTTTTGTTTGTTTTTGGGTTATTATGAATTAATAAGAACTAGGGTAATAAGAACTTTGTGGAGTATACATGTGACGTTATCACGGCTCCCAAGTCTTAAATTATGTGATATTTAGCTGAGGCATTTCTGAGCTTCGGACTTCCTCAAGGTATGACTGGTCAGATTTTCATTATTATATTTCCTATGCCTATTATTACCTTATGAGAAACCGCATGCTGTCTGATTGTAAATGAGAGAAAGGAAAGGGCGCGAGTGAAAGAATAATAAAACAGATGCATGCCTGTATGCCTTTTGCAGTTTTTTCTTTTCGGCAGATGTTTCATAATCAATTTCACAGTTGATGATCTCCTTGCGTTCCTCTTTTGAGGCGCTGGTCATTTATTCGCAAAACGACACATTTCCCTTATACCTCACTTTTCGGTTATGATGCTAGAATTGATGATGGCGTTCTGTGAACGCTGGCTTATCTCAAATTCGGTGACGATGTTCTTCTCAGTAGAAGGGATTCCAGGACCTCGCTAGTATATTCCATTCTATATCACTGAAATACTGTTCCAGAGCAGCATGGAGGAAAACAGCGAAGGAAAACGTGTCTAACATCAACGATACTGAAGAGCGCAGTTTATTCCTCAACACCGAATCTGTAGTTTTACTTGGATTTCTTATAATTCTTATTATAGAGCAGGTGGGCCTTCGGACTTGGTCCGCTCACTCTATCTGAATAATTTTTTAGTTTTCCATAAAATTTTCAGGTAGTCCATACCTTTTCGGCTGAAAAAGCTTCTTCCAAGAATTCGCCAAATCGAGGCGATGCTTTACCATCTTTGAGATCGCTTCTCGAAGGAGAAGACGAAGATGGTCAGCCTCTTGTTGACACCACTCTCGATGATCATGACGATCGCGTACAAGATATTGTATTCCGTTCGGTAAGCATTTGTTATTTCTTTCCGGCACTCCGCTGTTTGATTACAGGGATTTTCCCCAAGTTTGTGAGCCTTGCAGTCAATCTCGTTAGCATTACAAACAGTTTCATCACTTTCCCTTTCTGTTTCGTATACATTGCACTTTATTTCGTATTTCTTTCGTTCTATTTCGTAGATCTTCCAATCATTTTCGTTAGTCTAGTAATTTGTGATCTGATAGTCGCCAGCAACTCATAACACGGCAGATGGGGATGTTTCTCTCCCGATCTGACGCTGTTTCTGTGGCGAACATTCCCCGTGGCAGTCAACGTCGTCTCGCGCGCATGAATCTTTGGATTCCAGCTTCGCTGGTGCTGAATTTCTTCGCCCTGCCAAAAGGTTCTATGAATCAATTTGAATGTTTATATTTTGCCTCATTAGCTTCTCCATCGCTTGGTCGCGCTGATTGATGGTGAACGCACTCAACGCTGTAGGAAAGTGCTATCGGCGCCCTGATGATTGTAGGCTAGGATATGCCGAACGTAGTCAAACACTTTTCCTTAATCTCCATGCATTACGTAGTATAAAAATGGGAGAATTACGAAAAGTTACAGTTGCAGGGCCTACGAATTAGACTGTAGTGTTCATGGGGTTGGGTGCTCAGTTTTTCCTTTCTTAGCGAAATTATTCACTACCGCAGACTTAAGCAGAAAAAACTGCAATTTATAACATTACAAAGAGTGTGGGAAGTGGAGGAAGGACGCGTTAGAATTCAGTTCTTAGACACCCATATCACAAATTGTAAGGAAAGGCTCTAAGGACATCTATCCTGAAGTATAAGATCTGTGCCGACCCTCAAGTCTGTAGAAGGTATAAAAGTACCGCCTGGTGAAGATTCAGCTCCACAGCACAGTCACCTCACAGAACACAGCCACTGAGCTTCCCATAATAAAAGAGAATTGTTGGGAGAGACTTGTTATGGATTCCGAGGAGAAGAGGAAGCGTGATTCTGGAATGATGAAGTTCAGCGTGTTGTCAGGCAGAAGAGAGCTGCTTACAAGCGCTTGCAACAGACGTGGGCTCTAGACCAAGCTGTCTATGGAAGCTGCAGAAGGCTCGTAGGAGCTGCCGTAGTAAGGGCGGAGAAAACGGATGCCTGGACCTTCTGTATGAGAAGAATGGTCGTGAATAAGAGAAGTTCGTCTTTCAACTTGTGAAGTCATTTCAACTTGTGAAGTCATCGGGCTTCTCAAGATCTAGAATAGAATCTAGAATAGTTGTGACTTTTTAATATTAAAGAACATAAAATAAATACTTTTTTGAGGGCTGGGGGATGTGAAATGGTAGTGCCCATACTAATGGTGTAAGAGTACAAAGTGTATCCTAGTATTTAAGTTGCTAGAAAACTTGCGGGCTGAAAGTCATGAAGCTAACACAATAATTTAAAATTTGTCTGTTGCAGTGAAATGCTACGCTCTGAACGATTTTCATAGTAACGTCCTCAGATTCTTCGATTTTCAAGCAGTATTTCAGTCTTCCCCCATGGATTGTGGTTCCCACCATGCAGGGCATGGTCATGCTGCTTCTGTAGATGGAATTTCCGCTCGTACTCTCTTCCTTTTGTTTGGACTATCTACTCACTCGTTTTTCGAAGGAATCGCTTTGGGTGTTCAGGTAGTTTCATAATCTCGTTCTCACAGTTCTTCATATGAACGCTACATATATACAGATTAATATTCATATACATATAAACCTATAATATTGATTTTTTGCAGCATGACAAAGAAGATTTTATGAACATTCTAATTGCTGTGATGTTCCATGAGGTATGTTCTTCCTCACTAGTTCAACTTCTGTAGTCGGCAAATGAAACTCTGCAGTGAATATTGGAATATGGTCAAAATTAACCTAACGACCTCCCTAGTAGATAGTTTCGCAATGCCGCCTCTTTATTTATGCTTCCTGTTTATTTTTACATTTCAAAATTGGGAAGTACGGTTAGATTTTTTTCACGTTTTGTTCCATTAGAATTTCAAAGTGGTCAGCGGTTATGATTTCCTTGAGTGTGTATCAATTTTTTTCACTCGGAATTGTAGGGGCATGTACATTTAATCTACATATGAAGATAATTACAAGGCCAAATTATAAGGCGATTGATTTCCGAAGAAATGCTGCCCATAAATTGCTTCAGCGTGCCAATGCAACCTCTGAAAAGCATCGTATCACGGCCTTTACAAAACTCGATGTGAGAACAATTTTAAACTCATTGTGTCACAGTTAGCCCTACAAGTAATATGTAAAACCCTAGTTATGGGATTTGCTTCATATGAATACTACATACTTTTGGGGTGTATAAACTGGGCAACCACGAGGGAAGGGGGCGTGGTCTATATGAAAGATGATTTAAGCCATGAAGTTTGCACGCAGTATTTTCAAACTACGATCTTGGGACTCTATAATTGCAGAGACGTTTCTTTTTCATTGATCCATCTCCTATGCCCCATGGATTTTCCAGATTGTAGGCGGTGCTTTGTTCGAACTTCTCTTTATTGAACTGAAAGTAACTTCGGGACTTCGGATCTGACTTACGCGGGACTACGATGACTCCTTGAAAGTTTGAACTCTTCTCGGCCGAGGAGAATTAAGTTTGGAACCCTAATTCACCATATCAGTCATGTATAGCAATTTTGTTGCAGTGTAATTCCTTTATACTATTTTGAAGGGAAGAATATTATGAGTTCCATGAAACAAATCACACATCACGCGTCAGGCCCCTCACAGCACATACTTTATGGTGACAGAGCTGTTGTCAACAGAAATTTTGTAGATTAAACGGAGAAGCAATTTCTCTGTGTAAAGTCCATCGGCCAGGGAAGTGCTTGTCGGCCAGGGAAGTGCTTGTCACCTTGATTTTTGTCTATATCTCCTCTACAATGAATTGCTGACTAGAAGAGTCTTGTCAGCAATTCATTGAAGAGTCTTACCTCAATTCTCTCCTAGTAACGGTAAAAGGAGAAAGTAAAGAACAAAGAGATGAAGGTGGTTAAAAGTCAGAAGTGTAAAAACCTGATTTCCTGTTGAATTCTAAAAATATGTCAGCATAGAAAGCGACCCATTAAAAAATTTACAATCATCTATGGGGAACTGAGCTGCCACTCCTCCCAACAACTTCTGCCTTGCACAAGTAGAAGTGGACGTGGTTCCATGTCGAGCTCTGCTTCGACAGTGTCTCTTGACGTATGCACGTGAGCAAATCGCATGGCAATTTGTGGTAGCGAACTTTTCCATCTACGCTCTAGCTTTTCCAAGGAAACTTCCGTCCTTGAGAACACCGAGAGGACAATAAAACCTTTTCATTTCACGGTATCCGGAACTAACGCTCTCGAAGGTACTACATACGAACTTCGGTTACTAGAACATTTCTTGTACAAGAAGTTGTGGAGGCGCATAAAAAATGCCTACCTTTGGAAGAGAAAGCTGGTGAATGCGGCGGACGAGGTGTAATACCGTATTTCATTGCGCTCAGCCTTTATACCACCAGATGTGGGAAGGGATGCCGTCGGTTGCCTCAAAGAGGGCTGAGTTCTTTTGGATGAAGCCGTCGAAGCTTCCGGTACACTTGTCCTGTTATACGATGAATTGCGTCTGCGACAGACCTCTTACCGTGTGCACCAGTTTTTTTTAGTCTTCGAGTTCGAGTGATTGGAGGGTAATGGTGGCCCAACCATCGGTCATTCGATAACAGTAAAGAGGCATTTTATGTAGTTCATTTTGATGTGGCCAAGGAAAGATATTATGCGCAAAAGGAGAGCAGGAAAGGTTCAAATGGACGATTCTGCTGGTCCTTGCTCAATTCGTAGGGAACCTTATTGAGCTTCTTTTGCTTACCATTTCTACTTACATTAGGTGCTTTGAAAATGGTCTGAAATATTTGCACACACCTAGTTCTTTTGCTAGTTTTTGAACATAAGTTTGCTTACTTTCCTCATATAATTCCTGAAGTCTTGAGTGATTGACAACAGAATGGCACAGGCGACATTCCTCGGTCTGAGCTACGAATTCGTCAAAGCAGATTTTTCCAAGCCAATGCTGAATGTTCCTTAGTAGTACCTTGACCATAGACATCCTTTCTTCTCCGAGCTCTTCCTGGCTGTACTTAGACAGAGATTAAGCCTATGGAAGTCGATTGGTCTAATTTGTTGTATTAATTGCTTTTTTTGAGCAGTTCAAAAAGGTTTCTAAACTCAAAACTTTTCGAATAGCTCAAACAGTTCTATGGCCACAATCAGATATGCAGTAGTGTGAAATAGGTTCCTTGAAAGCACAGCTTGCGATAATTCTATGTATCGCTTTAAAATAAAACGTGGATGTTGATGGGCAATAGTAGATCGGTGACGACCCAAGCAAAAATTTGAGAAATAGCGAAATACGAGACTTCTCAGCTAAGTGATTAATTTGTAGGTGTATGGGGTTTGAACGAAAAAGGAGTATTTGGATGAGATTCTAGCAGTTGCTTAAAAAGTTGGCTACAGTAGGCAGAGCCGCTTTTCACTATTATTAGGTTGTCGGAAAAGTATTTGCGCATTTTGGTTTCCATGTTGTGAAATCTTTGGGAATTGCTCTAGAGCCTTCACTGTGGAATATGTGTAAGTGCAGGTCAATGCGCTCTCCACACCATATCTGCCGTAGCATTTCGCAACGGTCATGGCTGCAAGAATCGCTCTTGACCCAAAGCGAGTCAAACTGCCTTTGCTTTATAAGTTCAGAAAAAACGTTAATCCAAATTGAGCGACAGGGGGAATATGCGATGCGATAGGACCATTCATTGTCTCTAATACCACTTCAAGAACTTGGTACAAGAAGTTCAAAAATGGCCACTTTGACTGGACCGAAGAACCACGATCTAGGAGACTAGCTGAGCTCAATGATGACTATCTCCGAAGCTGGTTGAAGAGGATTCCAGGTTTAGTACCCGTCAGCTGAAACAGGAGCTCACAGCCATCACGACGCAGCAGCTGTCCATCTGCATCGCCTCGGAAAGACATGGAGATTCGGAGATGTGGATAAGTTGTGGTCTGGGTGGCCACCACCTCCAAATGAAGAGGGATTCATGCCTGAACTTGATGACTTTCCGACGCACCTTCGCATGGCTGGAAGACTTAATCACTGGTGACGAGAAGTGTGTTCCCTACTTAAACCACACGAGGAAGCGCCAGTGGCTTAGATGCGTAGAGCATGGAATCCCGACCTCCAATCCAGAATTCCTACCTCGGAAGGCAATGCCAAGCGTTTGAAGCCATTCAACAGGATCGATCACTGGGACCTTCTACCACCAAACTCCGCTGTCAGCACTGAAGCCCATTGTGCTCTGTGGACCGGATTACTGCAGCNCTAGGAGAGAAACTGAGGAAAGTCTATTTTCTCCACAACAGTGCTCGCCCACACTTTTCGAGGGAGGCTCAGAAAAAGCTACAGTGCTTGGGATGGCATGTTCTGGCCCACCCACCGTATTCAACAGGCCTGGCTCCAACGGATTATCATCTGCTCCCGTCGCTGTCGAACCATCCGAGAAATAAGAAGTTTGATTATGTGAATCAACTCGAGACGTAGATTGACGAAGTTTTCCTCCTTGAAACCTCAGGAATTCTACGCAAGCAGGAACCACAAGTTGTCTGTTGAATGGCAATACCTTGTCGATAATGATAGTGCATATATTTGTTAATTGTTAGTTATTGTGAAGGAAAAAAATAAATTCAAAAAAAAATTGCAAAATGCGCAAATACTTTTCCGACACCTAATATTAGGAGTCACGTCCCGTTGAATTCATGGTTGAACTAATGCTGGGGTCGCCGCGTGGGCGTCGCTACTATAATTGCACTGCAAAGTCTGGATGAACGGTTTTCAAAATTTAATAATATGCGCTCCAATGTGCAGCTTCTACATAGCCGCTGAAACAGGACTGTTTGTTGAGGCCGATGACGGAGCGGGTTGAGGCCGATGACGGAGCGGGTTTCAGGGCCTTATTGCATCCTGAGGAGGTCGACGTCGCCACACGATGCCACATGGGACGACTTCCCATGCGACATTGTTTGGCAGCCATAGTTCCGTCTAATAGAAATTTCTGCCGTCATTTTCAACTTGAAATGTGCCTTCACTCCAAGACCACCACATATGTAAACGGCTTCGATACGAGTGCGGGAAACGCGGGTTATTATAATAGCAGTAATTCTAAGCTTTCCTATTAGATTACAGTGGTGCTACCTATAGTTTGTAGGTGCTATGTTGTGTTGCATATGGTGTGTCAATGGCTCAGCAGCATACACCTGTACGTGCCGCCTTGCCAACTGTCTTGATTCTTTCGGCCAGTATTCCATCAGGAATGATCACCGCCCTTTTGGTAGGACCTTTCAAAATTGTTATTATATCTGAGCTCGATTATTTTTTAGCAGTAAATGAACGTCATAATCTCTGCATACGCCTTAGTTAAATGGCTCTTCTAGGTGGATCAGATTAATTCGAACTCGCTCATGCTACGATTCGTTCTCGAAGGCTTAGCAGGTGGTGTATTCGTTTACGTCGCATGCGTTGAAATGCTGAGTGTTGAATTGGGCCACTCACAAGGTCATAGTCACACCGGAGGCCACGGTCACAGCAATGGTCACGGACCACAACCATCACCGTACCAAGTATGTTTTACGGCTCTTTTTGTTAATGTAGAATAATTTTATTGAAGTTACTCCTAGAGCTTGGTGAAAGCAGCGGCAGTGGTTTCTGGAGTTCTTCTTTTCTTGGGATTGAAAATAGCTCGTGGACGACATCTTTAGCAGATGTTCTCAGTCTCGTAACTAATAGTGGTTTTATACGCAACTCATCTTTCCAGTACTTCTTTCTGGAACATTTTTTCAGACTTTTACATGTAGCTTGCCATAATCTGTGAAGCTGTCTCGAAATTGATCTTTTTCGAAAGAGAAACAGTCAGTAGTCTTAACAGCGCTCGAAATTGCCAGCAAAGTACCACCAGACTTTTTGAATCCTTGGAAATGTTGGAGTCTAACTGCTTATCACCTGTACTTTCGGCTTGAGACCGGGTCCGCTTTGGAGCAGCTGCGTGCAACGTGGTCCCTCAAAAACGTCGGCGACAGGAGTTTTCTATTTTTTCCTGAGAACTTTAAGGTTTGCAAGTTCATAGAAGTCTTCTGGCAATGGTATTTGAACCGACTTTGCATAAATTTGTACAAATCCTTGAAACAGTGTCGGAAATTCGATCACTTTCGGGACAATGCTATCAATTGCTTTTCTCTTATTATGGCATTTCTTCAATAGATGTTGAGGGCTGCCTCAGCTTTAACTATTGTTGGTCGATCTCTTTCTCTTTATCTGTATTTCTGTTTGTCCTTCACCGAATTTGGACTTTTATTCCACGTTCCATCTAGTCATTGCATGAATCCCTTTCATGAAATGTTTATTTTCTATTTTTGTTTTGCATTGATTGTTTGGTAAATCTTCTGGTGACCTCGCATTCACAATGCAATTGAAAATGACGTGTTTCTATAATGAATATTGATGGTGAGCTGTGTTCCCTTATGTCGAGATCAGTGTAACTAACACCAGTCCTTCCTAAAACGTGATAGCTCATAGTCAACGGAGCTATATCTTATTCGTTGCCCTAGGAACCCTTCCGAGGTGAATGCTCAACTTCAATGTCCTCTCTTCTGAGGCTTTTGATATCATCCAAGATACAGCCTATTACGATGCGATCTACGAAGATATAGGGTAGCTGGATGTTTCTCCTGTTATTTCATCTCTTATCCCTAGAGGCACAATTCACGATAATTTTGAGGTATCTTGTTTGAGTTAGAAACTGCTTTTGGAGAATGGCGCATTGAAGACGAAGAAAGCAAAGGAAATACTCCAACTTCGTGGAAAACAGGGCTCTCTAAAAGTAAAGAAAGTAGAGGTTTCCACGATGGAGTAAATAACTTAGAGGGATTTTCGTAGGAGATTGCATTTGTTACAATTGCGTGAGGAGTTGACTACATTAATCCAAGAATGTCCGGAACTGCCTTTTACTGTGCCGTTTTCCTTGTCTAGCAGTTAGATGATCAAAGATGGGGGCCCCGATAAAACTCGTCCGCCTCAGGGTGTGGCATACAGCAAATGCAATCTTTCAGCCTCTCTTACGACCCCATCTAGGCCCCTTTCCTGTCTCACTCGCCACACTTGGTATACGGTGGGGCCACAGATTCATCCTATGAGGAAATCTCAGAAGCTATTTCTGTCGTGAACTGTGCCTTTAAGTGTAAAGAGAGAAATACTACTTATTTGGCAAATTCAGTGTACAACTCGACAAGCAGCTTTATGCGATCAATGGCCCTTTTATGCTGGATAGCCAATTTGACGCGATGAAAAGAACAGATCGGAGAGTGCGCAAGCGGAAGCGTCAGTCATGGCAAAATGCGGAAAATGTTGAAGTGGGTTGTCAAACTCATTGTCGAACGTATGTGCATTGAAACATGGCCTTCCGTGAGGAAACCCAGTTATCAATGCATTAATTGAATCTGTTTCGTTCTGTAAATTGGTGCTTTTTTTTNTTTTTTTTCTGCATTTGTTGTTGTGTTGTTTCCCCCAATTAGTGGGTTTAACGAAGTGGCCGGCATGAAACTGGAATTAGTCTAGAAGAAGATAGACGATAGCGTATATGCTGGTAAAAAGCCAAACACTCTCCTTCATCCTCATACTTCTTGGATCACAAAAAAAAATCCCGGAATCAAAAGACCTTAACAGAAATAAAGAGGCGTTGTAGGGAGCCTATTCCGAGAGTCTATGCAAGAGAGGAGGATAACTTGCTGTAACAATGTTTTGAGGTGTCCATGTAGTCATTGTTACTCTCCCAGACAAGTCGCTTACGGGTTGGACAAACCGCAGGGACGAAAAACATGGCTAGCCTGAGCGGGGATCCAATCGTGATCCGTGATCCATGCGTAAGCTTGTACTCCACATACCACTACGTCCTCGTCAGGGTAGAAGAATAGTAGAGATAATATCAGTAAGTGCAGGGGAATCTTGTGATTGATAAATAAATTAGCTCATCTCTGGCGATTTCGCCTACATTATAGCCTGCTATAACATCATTTACAGCTGTTGGAGACGTTCAGAACAAATTCTTCCTCACCGTTTCTCGTTGCTATAATTCGCTGCTTATCAGAAAAATTATTTCCCCTGTTAGAGCCAGCCGTAATTCCAATCTCTGACTATTCTGTGGTAACTTCGAGCATGATGAGAAGAATTCGTAGGTTCGTGTTGAAAGAATGAAGTCACGACTGAAGATGCCATTTGTTGTAATATAAGCGAAAAATGCCAGCTGTAGATGTGAAGGTGTGCACGGTTCTTTCGAGACTTCGTAAACTTATAGCAAAGAGATGATATTACAAGTTTACCAACTCGATCAACTCTGCTTTTTTACATTGAAAAAGTTTTGCGACCTCCTAATTCTTTCAGTCGTTGTACGTCAGTTCTTAAGGATTATGCAGTTCACTTCGATCCCCCGATTCTCCTTTTCCCATACTCTCCGGGTTGCTAGTATCGTTCAGTTTAGTTGACGGACTATCCAGTTGGGTTATGCACGCTAGCACGTGCATTATATGTAGAGGACCGCTTGTCTCTGTGGAATCATCCAGCGCAATAATGGACTATCAGAAAGGGATAGTTCTCTCTGGATTCGAACGCTGAACTGCAGAGTGCATCACGCTCGATGTATTTCATTTGTGCAGAATTATTAGTGGTTGATCGTGGCTTCGTCCACCTCAGTGCAGACCCTTTCCACTATAAAAACTTGACCACCCCTCTTTTATCTTCTCCTCATTCTAGACAGTTTTCGAAGAGATGAATTTTTGGTCCTAGCCTTGCTTTCCTGTGCCAGCTCTGCTCACATCGAGGACATAACCACATTTGTTCCAATACCTCTATCCACTTTATTCCTGCGTTTTGGAACGATTCTGAACTGAGTTATGGAAATTTGATCTGAGCCCCGCTCACTTTAGTGCCAACCCCGTCCACTTCCCGTCCATTTGGTCACATTTGTTCCATTACATCTAGCCACTTTTTCCCGCATTCTATTACGCTTCCGAACGAAGTTACATTCATTTTTGAAAGGTGACTTTCGTTTCAACGCACGCCCATCCTGATCTGCGCTTCGCTATGTTTACGCATGCCCAGCATTCATAACGTCTTGCTCACTCTTTTTATTTTTTTTTTCGTGGCCTCGACGCCTTCGTCGAATCGAGTTATGAAATTCTGTGGGAAGTACCGCCCACATCGAGAACGCCCCGCCCACCACCGGTGAATTTCCTTCATTTTAATTGTTGACCCATCCCTCACCTTTGCACATTTTTTTTCATGGCGTCTGGACTGTTATGGACCGAATAAGAAGAATTGTCCATGGCCCCACCCAATTCCGGAGCATGCTCCGCCCCGTGGGGCTGGAGCTCCTTTGGGCTCACATGTGCTCTGTTGCTCTTGTACTATGCCCAACCCATCACGGACTTGACCCGACTTCTGCAGGTGCTTCTTCAGGTAAAATCGAATTTCCGTACAAACAAATAAACACACTAGACAGAGAGATAGATAGACGGACAGACGCGAGCGCTTTATTATATAATAATAAGGATGTTCCGCAACCGTCGCATTTACGCCCTACCGAATTTTTTCGCCGATGTGGGTCTATAGCACCTACTAAAAAAAGAACTGAGAGCAGTAACATAAGGAAAAATAAGGGGGGCAGAATTGTTGGTTGGCTGGCCCCAATGTCAGTTTTGTTGCAATATCAAGAAGAATGATAAAATACAGAGCAGTATCAGTCGAATGTACGGTATATATTCAAGCACTGTTAAAAACTCGAGCCTTAGTGAATGACTGAGAGCGCCATTCAGGAAGATTGAGCAATACCATGAGTTTCATAACTGATTCTTTTGTTGGCTTCATCATTGCATACTTACTCTGGTTTCAGGGGATCAATAGGATCGAGAAGCTATCAAAGGACATCCGTACTGAAGGACTTCGCGTAGCATTTTTCAGTGCCCAGGCCGTAAAGGATAACAATTATCAAGCGAGGGAAAAAGCTCGTGAAGTCCAGAATCGCAGCATAAAGATGTATCGCCTTGCAACGATCGCTTCAAATGAAATAATTACATTGAACGATAACAGGCAAGCAATCGGCTAAATTGACATGATTCAGTTCAGTAAGCTGACGGAAAATAGGGGGTTCCGTTAACTACTGTTTAATGAGTATAACGTTGGTAGCTCGATCAATGTTGCGTATTCAAAGCGAACAGGAGGCGTAACCGCTGCGTTACCAAAGACATTGAGTTTGGTGCGGTAGTCCCACCTGCGTGAACCAAGTTTGCCAGAAATCGCTCCTTTCTTGGGGTAATATCCCCAACATCGTCTCGAATGATCGACATGTCTAAAATGATCATTTGGAAGCCGGGATGGAAACACTCGATTGGTTATGGGTTCAGTCCACAGTATTTGTAGACCGCCATTTTTTCTATGCCATAGTTCAACCTATCAGTTACTATAGATGGACAGGCGGTGATTCAATTTCTTGGGTTCCCATCAAAGATAGTATGGTGAATGAATTTGATAGTTAAACGTGAAGTTGATATATTTTCCTGCATTCAATCTCGTGCAATTTAATTGACAAGTAATTCACTCGGAAGGGCTAACTCCGCACTTCTCATTTTCTTTAGTAACCCATTCGCCTTTCCTCAGTTTGATATTGACTTTAAAGACCGATACGCAACACCTGACAGGAAGAGAGTTTGCA